GCTGGGGGATTGAACCGTGGTCCCTGTACTTTGCCAAGCTTGTTCCAAGTAGGTGCTTTAGACCACTGAGCCATCTCACCAGCCCCTGAAGCAGAACTTTAAATACTGACAATACTCAAGGGCCAGCCAGATAGCTCAGTGGATTAAAGCGCCTGCTTGGGCGACAGACGCAGGGGTCAGGGTTTACTGACCAGGGAAGCTATGCACTACCTAAAAGTTTATCAGCTTCTTAGAACAGAAAAACAAGCTTCAGTCTTTGAAGCAGAAGTTTGAACATGACAGCTGGTCGTTTGCAGAGGGCTGACAGGGACACGACCAGATGTCACTGAGGTTACTCTGTGTCACCAAATTCCCCCACTATTCAGCCTGGCTGGGAGACTGTTTTCCAAAGGTTACCAAGTTGGGAGGAAGATGTGAAGTAAAACAGAATAGTATCAGTAGCATCTCAAAGCCACGGCAGAAGCACTAACTGAGAGAAGCATGTTTGCCTCTCCTCCATATCTGAAGCATAATTGCTTGAGATAAACAAAAACGAAATGTATGACTCTAGCTTTTATTTTACTCTATCTTGTTTTTTTTTTTTAATTTTTTATTTTAGGACAGGGTGTACACGGTATACAGGGTCTCACTGCATAGTCTAGAGACTAAAGTAGGAGGATCCCAAGGTTGAGGTAAACCCAGACAAATTTGTGAGACACTACCCTGAAAATTTTTAAAAGAGGGTGGGGAGGGCTCAATCCCCACTACAAAAAAAGGCACAAGAGGAATGCCAAGGATTCTCACTGGCAGGCCACTTGCCAAGCATATGCAAAGCCCTGGGGTTGGTTCTCAGGACATGAACATACACACACACACACACACACACACACACACAGCGCAAAAATATAACAAATCTCTACATAGTTAGCTTCAGTAATTACTCATGAGGGGCTGAGGATTTGCCGCAGCAGCAGAACGCTTGCCTAACAAGCTAGTAGCCCTGGGTTCAGTCCTTGGCACCAAAAACAAAAAATAAGCCTCCCCTAATAATTACTCATGAACAAACTTCTTTCTTTCTTTCTTTGTTTTATTTATTTTTTATTTGAGTCAGCATCTCACTATGTAGCTTAGGCTGGCCTTGAGCTCACCTTGTAGCCCAGCTTGGTCCCAAACTCACAGTGATCCTCCTGCCTCGGCCTCTACAGTGCTGGGAATACAGCCCCATGAATAAACTAATTTTATCAGCATTTTCACTTATCTTCTTGTTTGAAAGCAAATCTCAGATATACTATTTTACAGCCACTAATTCAGCATGTTACTGTGAAATACCTATTTTTAAAACATAAATGAGGGCCAGGGAGATAGCTCAGTAGAATAAGTGCTTGCCTGGCAACCACAAAGTCCTGAGTTCAATCCCCGGTACCGCAAAAAAATAAATAAATAAATAAATAAGACAGGCATGGTGGCACATACCTAAAGTCCCTGCTAGAGAAGAGGCTAGAGAATCACTTAAGCTCATGAGTTCAAAATCTAAGTAAAAAGCCGTGCATGGTGGCACCCACCTATAATCCCAGCACTTGGGAGGCTGAGGCAGGAGGATAATTGGGAGTTCCAGGCAAGCCTGGATACATAATGAGTTCAAGACTGGCCTGAACTATAACCTAGTAAGAGACTATCTAAAAACAAAACAAGGGGCTGGGGAGATAGCTCAGTGGAATAAGCACTTCCCTGGCAAGCTCAAGGACCTGAGTTCAATTCCCGGTTCTGCAAAAAAAAAAAAAAAAAGAAAGAAAAATCAGATTTTGGGCCAGGGATATAGCTCAGCAGCATAAGTGCCTGACTGGCAAGCACAAGGTCCTGAGTTTGATCCCTGGTACCACAAAAAATAAAAAGTTTAAAAAAAAAATTTCCAATAAATGCAAGAATACATGTCCCACACATGTAAGAATCTTGCTGTATTTTCTCTTAAAGTTTGTTTGGAAGATTAAAACAGGGTCTACATATGGTGGTCAGTTGTTGTGTGTTGTATTTTTTTAGTCAACAGGTTTTCAATCTATCACTCTGTGGGTTTGTTGTTGTTGTTGTTTTCAGTTTGTAGAAGAAATTGCACCAGTTGCCATGCAGCGCCATAAATACTAAGCCATCCAACAACCACTTATTATCTTGGCATGGTGACACATGCCCATAATTCCAGCACTCAAGAGGCTGAGGCAGGAGGATAGCCACAAATCTGAGGCCAGCTTGGGCTACCCAGTGAGTTCAGGGCCAGCCTAAACTACATAGCAAGACCCTACGTCAAAAAAATAAAACATAAGAACAACCAGGTATGGTGTGGTACAGTTATGTAATCCCAGTACTTGGGAGGCTGCGGCTGAACTGCAGTGAGTTCAAGGCCAGCCTAAACTACATAGTAAAACCCTACCTTAAAAAAAAAGGCTGGGCTGGGGCTGGTGAGATGGCTCAGTGGTCTAAAGCATCTACTTAGAACAAG